AGATTAAAAGATCACTTCATACACTCAATCTAGGCGGGAGTGGACCTCATTCATGAGGTCAACAGCCCCGGGCTTGCCGGAATAGCCAGGTTTTAGTAGCCTTTCGGAAGGCGAGAGAGTGGGAAGGGTCCGGATCTCTGGGGGTAGATCGTTCCATAGGGTCGGAGCGGCTACAGAGAAAACCCTCCCCCGGGGGGGTCGCCAGACGACCTTGTCTGGTCGACGTCACCTGGAGAAGGCCTGTGTGATCTTATCGGCCGTTGGGAGGTATGCGGAGGTATAATAAGATACATATAATCGCCATTGCACTGACTTACACACAAAATGGACGCCAGGAAAAACCTTGCCAGGAAAGCTCCCAGGGTCAAACTCTTGACCTGTTCAATAATGTCTCTAAACCTTTTTTTTTTCAGCTTCTTCCCACGCAATCGTCACCCTCAAGTTATCTCTGCGGAAGGTCCTTCTCAACACCTGTCCACGCTTCCCCCCCTGAAGAATCCAAAGACTCTAACCTGAAGTTCTGATGCTCCTTGGAGCCACGTATCTTAGCCGAGAAACGTTCCGACAATTTCTCCAGTCCTCTGGAATATTCTTGTTCCACTTCAGCCTTCCGGCGCAGGAAGTCGGCCACATCTTGGAGCAACTGTTGTCGACTCTCCGCCTGAGAGTCAAGACCTCGGACTTGCTCCCCCATTTGGCAGCGCATTTCTGAGAGAGAAGCACAGATTATAGTAGAGAGGAAGGTTTGGAGAAAAAAAATCACCTCCGGTGGAGGCGGTAGTAAAAACATTGGCAACCCACCACTGCCAGGGGAGGCGGTTTTCGCCCTCCCAGAGGCTCAAGGAAAGCCTCCGGAGCCTGGAAAAGGCGAAAATGGTCGTCGTCCCCGTCCCCCCCGCCGCCATGGTGCAGGAGACCAACTAGGCCATGCCCACCATGGCAACCAAGCACCCAACAACCAGGCAGAGAAGCTGTTGCTGAAATTTTTGAAGCCCATCCCTGCCTCAGGCAATGCCTAGCTAGAACAAAATCTTTCCTCCGGACTCAGACACACAGAGAAGGCCTGTTAAAGATTTCTCCTTCAAGAGACATGACTTGAGAAAGCAGGCCTTCTCTTTCACAGCCTAATTCNGACCCGGATTGTTGTTGGGGGCAATATGCTGACTCTGTAAACCGCTTAGAGAGGGCTGAAAGCCCTATGAAGCAGTATATAAGTCTAACTGCTATAATGTAGGGTCACACAAATCGGTTTCCCGGCCTGATTTACCTAGCAGAGCTAATGCCTTCTTAACAATCCCACTGGATCAACCAAGGATTGCAGATAGACATAACTGAATCGTGTAAGACAGTGGTCTCCAACCTTGGCAACTTTAAAGCTGGCTGAGGAAGTCTGAGAGTTGAAGTCCACAGGTCTTAAAGTTGCCAAGGTTGGAGACCACTGGTGTAAGAGGACAGATCTCTTTTGTGGTACACTTAATGGGAGCATGGGAGCCTGGCCATTCAATTTTCTTCTCTTGGAGTGTTCTTAATTATAATGTTCTCATACAGGGAGGCAAATGCTTGGCTTAAGGCAGCAAGTGCTGAAAACCACCTTATACTTTTTAAATGGCAAAATGTTCATTTACTGTCCTTCTCAGCTTCTTTGCCTGTAAGTAAGACTTAAATAATTTAAAAAAATGTGAGACATTGACAAAGGGGAGGCTTGCAAACTGTGAATTTGTGAGCACATTGTTTTCAGATCAGGATCATCATTCTAGAAGGTAGTTTAGTGTAAGAGCTCCAAATAAAAACTTGGAAATTACTGTGCATGACCATTTTGAACCTTTGGTGAGCACAATATAAAACTCGGAGGAAATTACAAGTAGAATGGGGCTTCCTACAGAGATCACCAGGAGATACTAAATAGAAATAGCACATTGGGCTCAGAGTATTTGAGCCCATTCTTCATGCCCCTCATACACAACACCCATCACATTTGGTGCTGGTACTTCACAATCACTGCTCTGCCAGGTAAGAACCGGATCTGAGAAAACATTTCCCATGATTACTCAACAGTCACAGAAACATTAGCCAACTTCTGAACTGATCAGGTGGCGACTAGGGAAAATATTCTCATACAGATGCTAGAGAGCCATAAAAACTCTTCATTTTGTCCATTTTCCCTTTTCTTTTTTTTTTTATAGAAAGTTTTTTTATTTTCCATTTTCATAGCATATAATCACATGTATACTATTACA